CGAGTCTGTTCCTCCGGCCGATGCTCCGGGGTCTGACCAGTGGGCCCCTTCCTCTTCCAGTGGGTCTCTTCCAGCTCTCTCGGCTGCCCCGGCTTTTTCTTGTGGGGCCGGGGCTTTGGAGGTCGACTCGGCCCCGGGGCCTGGTGTAGAGGCTCCTGGGGTTGGGGAGGAGCGGCCTTGGGGGCCTTGGGCTCTATTGCGCCCCGCCTGGATTTCCGTCCTTCTGAGCGGGGCTTACTGTTGCGAGGAGTGTGGTTTTCTTCCCCCCTCTGCGTACGATTTGGGCTTGGGTTCTGCTCCTCCCCCGGGTTCGGTTCTGTGTCCCTGGGGTTTCTTCGGTTCCGTCTTCCGGAGGTTTTCGGCTAACCGCATCTCTTCGCCTGCGGTGCGGTTGGCCTTTGCGGCTTACCTCCTGCATGTCCCGGAGTTTGCCTCCATACTGGTTCCTTCTGTTATGGACAGTTTGGGCTCCTTGTAGCCGTTTTGGGCTCCTTGTAGCCGTTTTGGGCTCCTTGTAGCCGTTTTGGGCTCCTTGTAGCCGTTTTGGGCTCCTTGTAGCCGTTTTGGGCTCCTTGTAGCCGTTTTGGGCTCCTTGTAGCCGTTTTGGGCTCCTTGTAGCCGTTTTGGGCTCCTTGTAGCCGTTTTGGGCTCCTCGTAGCCGTTTTGGGCTCCTCGTAGCCGTTTTGGGCTCCTCGTAGCCGTTTTGGGCTCCTCGTAGCCGTTTTGGGCTCCTTGTAGCCGTTTTGGGCTCCTTGTAGCCGTTTTGGGCTCCTTGTAGCCGTTTTGGGCTCCTTGTAGCCGTTTTGGGCTCCTTGTAGCCGTTTTGGGCTCCTTGTAGCCGTTTTGGGCTGCTTCTCGCCTGGTTGGGCTGCTTCTCGCCTGGTTGGGCTGCTTCTCGCCTGGTTGGGCTACTTTTCTTTCGCGTCCTGCGCATGCGTCCTGTGCGTCCTGGTAGTTTGTTTTGGTTCCGGGAGGTGTGCACACGTGTTCTGCATTCATTTTCTCTCGGCGGGGCTTCGCCTCTCGCTCTTTTCTTAATCCAATCCGTGCCCCGTTGCTTTGGGGGTGTTCTGGGGTGCCGCTGTGGGGAAGTCACATGGTTTTTCCCTGCGTTCTAGGGTGGGGAGCCTCCTTTGCCACTCCCCTCCTCTCCAGCATGGGCACCCTGGCCGCCTCCGGCGGCTTCGGACTCGAAAGCTTGCATCATGGCCCTTCAGCGCCTATGTTCTGCAGGTGAGTTGGTGCGGTTTGGCGTCTCCTTCGTCCTGACGCTGTTTTTGTTTTTGGAAGTAGGAATGGGTGTACATACGTACTTGAGAACTTGGACCGTACCACCCGAGGTGCCTACTGCAGGGCTATTAGCCCATACTGGGCAGCTCTTGTTCTCTCCACCTGATTCCTTTCTCGGTTCATGGGTGTCTGCGGGTGGCCTCTTGTCCCTTCCGAGGCATCTCCTGCCTGTACTCCTCCTGCCCCTCTCCTATGCTTGTCTAACCTTGCTTGAGTTCGGGGCCCCGCCTCCACCTTGTTCCGCAGTGCAATGGTGGGGGTGCCTGTTCGGTGGTACGTTTTCCTGTGTCGAGGGTGTTTTGTGCTCGCCTCCTTGTGCTTGCAGGATTGGGTTCTGGCTCTTTGGTTCCGCCTCTTCCCTGTCATTTGCCTGTCGTGCGGATTCTGTGCTTCATGGGCGCTCTCGTCTCTGCTCTTGGGGCTATGTATGGGGTCAGCCCAAGTTGGGCTGCCTAATGTGTTCCTTCGATTGCCTGTTACACTGCACACATTTCTTCTACCGTCCCTGTGGCTCAGCTGGGTGCTCGGTTTCCGCCTGTGTTCCCTTGTGTGCCACTCATGTACGATTTATCTATCTTCTGTCGCTTCCTCGGGGAGTGTGGTGACGTTTTGCTGCGGTTTTGGTACTGCAGCTGCGTGTCGGGGTTGGTTGTGGCATTATGTTCGGCCCTTCTGTGCTCCCTCTGGGGCCCTCCTTCCTTGCCGGTCTTGCTGTGCCGGGCCTGGTTTTTCCATGTTCCTTGGATTCTCTGTCTTGTCCTCGCCTCATGCTGGCTGGGGATGAGCTTGGGGTCTTCATCTCGCCCCTCACCTATCCTCCGGTTTCGGTTCAAGTTCCAGAGCCTAGTGGGCTCCCTTCCTTAGAGTTTTTCCTGGCTGCCCCGGGGTTTTTCTTGATGCTGGGGCTTTGAGGGGACAGCTCGGCCCCGGGGCCTGCAGGGTGGGTTCCCGGGGCTGGGGTGGGGCTCACATGAGGGGCCTCAGGTCCCGTTGGTCCCCACCGGGGTATTTCTACCCCTCTGGGCGGGGCTTGCGGTTTTGTGGTGTGGGGTTTTCCATTTCCCCCTCTCTGCACGTGCTTTGTGGGCGTCGGCCCCTCTCTGGGCTCGGTTTCCTTGTCCATTGTGCCCGTTGTTTCTGTCCTGTCGGTGGGTGCTTTTCTTCAGTCTTCGCCACTTTTTTCCGGGACGGGCCTTCTCCGTCATGTCCCCCTCTTCTTGGGGTTTCTGCATGACTTTTGGTCTCGGGTGCGTCGGGGGTTTTGTGCCTTCGTCCTTTGTGTTTACTTCTTTTTGTTCTCGAAGGTTCGGGACGGTTTTGCTACTTCCCTCTGGTCCTTTCTAGAGCTTGTGGGGTCCTATTCCCGGCAGCTTCTGGGTGATTGGCCCTCTTGTTCTTTTGTGCATATCTCTTCTCTTCGCGCTGTCTCGGCGCTACTCGTTTTCCTGGGGGGCGATTTTGCATCTCTTAATGAGTCTTTTCGCTTTCTGCTGGATGTTGGTGCGGGGCGGCTCCTTATGCGGGTTCCTTCCCCTGTCGGCTGCACTTGTGGCGGTGGACTTGCACGCTTGTGGCATTTTAGTTTTGGTCCTGCGTTTTCTTTTCCCTCCTGGGGCTGTCATAGGATTGGCTTGCGGAGGATGTAGAGGTGCTTGGGGCCGTTCCTGGGTCTGGCACCTTGGTTTCTGCTGCTAGCTTTCGGTATCGATGTTCCTTCTGCGCTGTTTCGCAAGCTGTCTCGTGCGTTGTTTCACCTCCGGCCTGCTTATGCACTGCCTGTACCATCCTGGTCTTTGGACAGGGTGCTCTCCTGTTTTTCTTCTCCATGGTGGTTGTGGCTCTTTGGGGTCAGGTTTGCTTTGCCTCGGCTCTCTTTTTATGTTGGCATTGGCCTCTAGGGGTCGTGTGGCAGAGCTTCATGCTTTTCTCAGGCGCAGTGGTTTTTGGCTCCTATGGTCGTGGTCATAGGTTTCTTCGTCTGCAGCCGTTCTCCCTTTTTCTGGTGAATGTTGTGCCTGCTGCTTTCCAGAGGGGTCCTTGGGTTGTTGTCTCGACTTTGTGTTGAGGAGTGGTTCACCGACCGCCTCCCAGGTATGTCCCCTTGTTTTCTTAGGTAGTCTTTGGTGAAGTAGCTCCGGGGAGCCGTAGGGGCTCCCCCCAGAAAACCAGCGTTGAATGTAATGAAACGCCATTTTCTGGGTGAGTCCCGGAGGCTCCCCGGCATCCCTCCCGGCCTCTGGTTGGCGTTTTTTTTCTCGGTTTTTGATATCCAGCCTCTGAACTGGGGCGTGGTTCGCTGGCTTGGGGGTCTGGGGCTCCCCCTTTCCCCTCCCGGGGAGGGGGGAGCTGCGCAGACATGTAGCGCAGCTCGTGTGACGTCATGCTGGATTGCTCGTTTTTCTTTTGGGGAGTTCTGTCCACTCATTTGTCAATTTTCATTGTTAACCAGAATAGGGGTTTGTTTTGTGGCGCTTACCTCTCTGGGTGCCTGTCCCAGTCGATGGCAGATATAGAATGCTCCAAATCACATGTGCATTTCTATGGGCCATTGCTACCCGTGCCTTTGTGAGGGGGCCAGGTTCTGGCTCGTGGTCCCCGGTAGGTTAGAACTGCACCCACATCGACTGATGCAAAATAGTTAGGGTATCCATATCAGCCATGGATAGCTCCGGGTAGCCTCCGGGACTCACTCGGAAAATGGCGTTTCATTACATTCAACGCTGGTTTTTTTTGCATTGGTTGAATCTTAGCTTCCAAACTGGAGTGCTATGCAGCCGGCGCAGTGAGGTCCTGGGACCCCCCTCCCACTCTTGGGGAGGGGAGGGCTGCATGGACAAGTGATGCAGCAGTAGTGTTATGTTTGCTTGTTTCCTTGGGATTGAAGGGAGTACTACCTCTGTTCAGTTTTTATTGGTTTCTTAACATGTTGGGTTTGTTTTGTTATGCCTACCTTTCTGGATGTCTATTCCCGGTTGATGGCAGGTAAGGAAAACCCCCAACCACATGGGGGTTTTCCAGGGTCATTGCTTTCTGAAACCTCTCTGAGGGGCCCAGGTTTTGGCTCATGGTCCCTGGTAGGTCTGAACTCCATAGCTAATCTCCTGGTCTAATATAAAATACATTAGCCTAATAAGCTCCAGGGAGCCTCTGGGGCTCACCCAGAAAATGGTGTTTCATTACATTCAAAGCTGGTTTTCTGGTAGAGCCTAGGTGGCTCCTTGATTCCCTCCCCCCCTGTCTCTGCCAGGTTTGTTGGTTCGTGGTTTATGAACTATGAGCTGACTCATGGCTGGTGCAGGAGCAGAGAGCCCCTGGGACACCACCTGTTAACGACCTTGTGCACTGAAGGGTTCAAGCTAGAATTGAGCAAATCATTTGTAAAGTTGTTTGGCTGTTTTGGTGCTTCATTTTATGTGAACCTTGCTGATGTTTGTATTGCTTTCTTGGTGTGGGTGATTGTAACAATCCCCAGCTCCTTGTGATATTGTGAGGGGACCCGGTTCTGGCTCTGGTTCCCTATAGGCCAAACACGACTCCTATGGCTGATGTGACTCAGTAGGGGGAAGTTATCTCTGCTATGAAGTCATATTAGCTTTGTGCTTTCTTTGATAATTATTTTGTAATTCTTTGATCAATGGAAATTCAGTTGTTTGATGCTTTCCTATTTAAAAGTCATATTATGCAACTAATAATTTGCTTATATTTTACAGTTTCTGGACATCCCTCTAGATCATCACGTCTTCAAATTACAAGATGTAAGAGAATGGGGAGGACATACTGAAATCATAGCTATGTCTCGACTTTTTCAGTAAGTTGTACTCATATCTGGCTTCTGGATGTCTTGTAGTTAGTTTTATTGTTAACGTTAATAAATCCAAAAATGTGTCTGGGGCAGCATGCACTCACACTTGACTGAAATTTAAATTTTGCATGATTGTAGTTGACCTCCAATTATAGGATGTTGGCTGTAAGTGGCTCTGCCACAGCCTCCAGGACCTATGGAAGCATTGCATGACGCACAAACTTTGGGCTCTGTGGGTATCCTGGGTGAACAAGAATGCTTAAATAGTATTAAAGATTATGTGCAGCAAGTACTTTAACTATACACTGTAGTGAGTACATAGTGAAAGACTTTTCTTTGCAAATTTTACACACAAGGGAAGATCGTATATAGCATTATCTGGGGAGATAGAAAGGAGAGAATCTTTTCTCCCTCCTATCATTACTGCTCACCCAAAGCATAGTGAGAGACAAATTGGAGCATCTATAATTGTGTGAGGTCTTGGGCACTGTCTCCCTCCAAAGCAAAGAAAAAAGCAAAAAACCATTACCAACCACAGACACCTCACTAGTGACTTGGGAGTTACCAACTGAAGCCTTACACTCCTTAAGAAAAGTCCATGTTGATTGGCAGATCAAATTAAAGCCGCACACCTGTTTATCACGAGCCACACTTGCCACTGATGATCTGGACACTCTTCTTGTACTCCCACTGAACCTTATTCAGCTTTTTCTCCACTTGGATTTTATATATCTGAGAGCTAGGGTGCTGTCTATGGAGAGCCCCTCCTCAGATTGTAAAGAGCCCCTGTAGCGGTATGTATTAGACCGTGGCATCAGTCAATTTGATTGAAGTTTTAGCCTACTGGGGACCACGAGCCAAAACCTGGCCCCCTCAGAGAGGCACAAGGAGCAATGATCTATAGAAACCCCAATGTGGTTGGAACCATTCTATGTCTGCCATCTACCGGGTTAGGCACCCAGAATGGTAGGCATCCCAAAACAATCTCCACCTGATGAAAATTGTTACCGAAAACCGAACTATCAAGCAGAACTTCACAATCTAAAAACAAGCATGACGTCGCAAACCCTGCCACACCACTGTCTGTGCAGCTAACCTCTCCCTGGGAAGGGAAGCCCCAGACCCTTCATGCATGGTCTCCTGTAGGCTCTGAACCCTAGTTCAGAGGCTGAATATCAAAATGTGAAAACTACCGACTGAAGGGAGGGAGGATTGCCGGGGAGCCTCCAGGACTCGCCCAGATAATGGCATTTCAGTACATTCAATGCAGGTTTTCTGTGGAGAGTCCCTCCGGCTCCTGGTAGCTACCTAACCACAGAAAAAGAAAAGAGGGACTTGCCTGGGTGGCGGTTGCCACTCGCATCTCAATACGAAGTAGACACACACCCGACTAGGGCCAGGGACATAAATGATGTAGTGAGTGGTCAGTACCCTGTTTGACCTCCAAACTCCTCGTGCCCGAATGTTAGTTCAAGACATGATACCCAAAAATGCAGCCAAAGCAGAAAATTTGTGAACGTCATGGGCACAAGGATAGACCGCAGGCTGGATGGACCGAATAACCCTGCGGTTGACCTGGGCGACCCAAGCCCTGGAACAGGGATGAAGGGAAACCAGGTTCCCATCCACAGAGGGCCGTGGCATGTGGGAGACTCTGTGGGAGACTGGGTCTCCCCAGCCAAGTCCGAACCTGAGAAGGAAACCAGACGGGACTTTCAGATCCCTGTACAGTACCTCTCTGAGGAGACCAGGTTCTGGCTCATGGTCTCCTGTAGTCTCGAAGTCATTAAGACTGAAGCCCCTGACTAATATAGCTATTATCAGTCTGATAGCTCCAGGAAGCTTCTGGGGATCTACCCAGAAAATAGTGTTTCATTACATTCAACACTGGTTTTTCCAGTCATGAAATTTGAGCTCTTTGGACTTTCAGGTGAAGATAGTGTATAGTGAATGTTGTGTGTATATTGTGTATAGTGAAGGTTGTATATTTACCTAGTTGTGCTTGCGGGGTTTGAGCTCTGCTCTTTCGTCCCGCCTCTGAACTGTCAATCAACTATTACTAACTACTGTACTATTTTTTTATTTTATTTTTTTATTTTTTTTCCCTTCCCTCACCACATGCACACACACACATACACACACACCCGAGGAAGCAGCCTGTGACAGCTGACTAACTCCCAGGTACCTATTTACTGCTAGGTAACAGGAGCATCAGGGTGAAAGAAACTCTGCCCATTGTTTCTCGCCGGCAGTGGGAATCGAACCTGCGACCACAGGATCACGCGTCCAGTGTGCTGTCCAGTCAGCCACCGGCCCCTATTGTATCCCCTATTGTGTGTATTCTTCACACAATTCAGTCCAACCTTCACTATACCCCTATTGTGTGTATTGTGCATAGTGAAGGTTGTGTATTCACTTAGTTGTGCTTGCGGGGGTTGAGCTCTGCTCCTTCAGCCCGCCTCTCAACTGTTAATCAACGGTTTCTACTACTACTATTTTTTCACCCCCCCTTTCCCCCACACACAGACTCTCACATTCTGGAGACATTCTTGTATCAACACATAAAGCAGGCCACAAGAATGAGGGAAGGAGATGTACCGTCATTACTGGATCTAGTATTCAGCAGGAAAGAAGAAGAGATATTTGACATCCAGTACCTTCCTCCCTTGGGAAAGAGTGATCAAGTCCTGTTAGATATTGATTATGCTTTAAGATATCATCTAGAAGAAAATGGGGACATTGAAACAGTTCATAAACTCGATTTAAGGAGAGGTCACTATGGGGAACTTCAAAATTTTTTTAATGAGTGTAATTGGACAGAATTGTTGCTAGGCAGGGAAGTAAATGAAATAAATGTATGCCAAATTTTAAAAAATATACGAGGAAGGCACACAATCATTCATACCAAAACAGAGAGGCAGGGCCAGAAAACAGGATTGGTTTGACAGAAATTGTGAGAGGGCCAGAGACCAAAAGACACAAAAATGGAATCAGTATAGGAAGAGGCCAAACCCCCAAACATACCAGCGATACAAAGATGCGAGAAACAACTATACGGAGGTAAGGAGAGAGGCAGAAAGAAATTTTGAAAAAGGGATTGCAGACAAATGTAAAACAGAACCAGGTCTATTCTATAAATTCATAAACAACAAATTGCAGGTAAAGGATAATATTCAGAGGTTGAAAATGGGAAATAGATTCACGGAAGATGAAAAGGAAATGTGTGAAACACTAAACGAAAAGTTTCAAAGTGTGTTTGTACAAAATTAAATCTTTAGGGAACCAGATACAATAAGAATTCCAGAGAACAACATAGAGCACATAGAGGTGTCTAGAGACGAAGTGGAAAAAATGCTCAAGGAGCTAAGTAAGAACAAAGCAGTTGGTCCAGATGGAGTTTCACCATGGGTTCTGAGAGAATGTGCACCTGAGCTCAGCATTCCACTTCAACTGATTTTTCAGGCATCCCTGTGTACAGGAGCTGTAGCTGATGTGTGGAAAAAGGCTAACATAGTTCCAATCTACAAAAGTGGAAACAGGGAAGACCCCCTTAATTATAGACCTGTATCATTGACAAGTGTAATAGTCAAAATATTGGAAAAAATAATTAAAACTAAATGGGTAGAACACTTGGAGGAAAACGCTATAATATCAGACAGACAGTATGGTTTTCGATCTGGAAGATCCTGTGTAACGAACTTGCTCAGTTTTTATGATCGAGCCACAGAGATTTTACAGGAAAGAGATGGTTGGGTTGACTGCATCTATCTGGACCTAAAAAAGGCTTTCGACAGAGTTCCCCATAAGAGGTTGTTCTGGAAACTGGAACATATTGGAGGAGTGACAGGTAAGCTACTAACATGGATGAAAAATTTCCTAACTGACAGAAAAATGAGGGCCATAATCAGAGGCAAGGTATCGGATTGGAGGAATGTCACGAGTGGAGTACCTCAGCGTTCAGTTCTTGCACCGGTAATGTTCATTGTCTACATAAACGATCTACCAGTGGGAATACACAATTACATGAACATGTTTGCTGATGATGCTAAGATAATAGGGAAGATAAGAAACTTGGATGATTGTCATGCCCTTCAAGAAGACCTGGACAAAATAAGTATATGGAGCAACACTTTGCAAATGGAATTTAATGTGAATAAATGCCATGTTATGGAATGTGGAATTGGAGAACATAGACCCCACACAACCTATAAATTATGTGAGAAATCTTTAAAGAATTCTGATAAAGAAAAGGATCTAGGGGTGGTTTTAGATAGAAAAATGTCACCTGAGGACCACATTAAGAACATTGTGTGAGGAGCCTATGCTACACTTTCTAACCTTAGAATTGCTTTTAAATACATGGATGGAGAAATACTAAAGAAATTGTTCACGACTTTTATTAGACCAAAGCTGGAATATGCAGTGGTTGTATGGTGCCCATATCTTAAGAAGCACATCAACAAACTGGAAAAGGTGCAACGACATGCCACTAAGTGGCTCCCAGAACTGAAGGACAAGAGCTACGAGGAGAGATTATAGAGGCATTAAATATGCAAAAACTAGAAGATAGAAGAAAAAGAGGCGATATGATCACTACGTTCAAAATAGTAACAGGAATAGATAAAATTGATAGGGAAGAATTCCTGAGACTCGGAACTTCAAGAACAAGAGGTCATAGATTTAAACTAACGAAACAAAGCTGCCGGAGAAATATACGAAAATTCACTTTTGTAAACAGAGTGGTAGATGGTTGGAACAAGTTAGGTGAGAAGGTGGTGGAGGCCAAAACCGTCAGTAATTTCAAAGCATTATATGACAAAGAGTGCTGGGGAGACGGGACACCACGAGCGTAGCTCTCATCCTGTAACTACACTTTGGTAATTACACACACACACACACCCGCGCACACGCACGCACGCACGGATGGCGATATACTAAAGAAATTGTTCACAACTTTTGTTAGGACAAAGCTAGAATATGCAGCGGTTGTATGGTACCCATATCTTAAGAAGCACATCAACAAACTGGAAAAGGTGCAAAGACATGCTACTAAGTGGCTCCCAGAACTGAAGGGCAAGAGCTACGAGGAGAGGTTAGAGGCATTAAATATGCCAAAACTAGAAGACAGAAGAAAAAGAGGTGATATGATCACTATATACAAAATAGTAACAGGAATTGATAAAATCGATACGGAAGATTTCCTGAGACCTGGAACTTTAAGAACAAGAGGTCATAGATATAAACTAGCTAAACACATATGCCGAAGAAATATAAGAAAATTCACTTTCGCAAACAGAGTGGTAGATGGTTGGAACAAGTTAGGTGAGAAGGTGGTGGAGGCCAAGACCGTCAGTAGTTTCAAAGCGTTATATGACAGAGTGCTGGGAAGACGGGACACCACGAGCGTAGCTCTCATCCTGTAACTACACTTAGGTAATTACACACACATACACACACCCCCACCCCCCACCCACACCCCCACCCCACACCCACCCCACACCCACCCCACACCCCCCCCACACCCACCCCACACCCACCCCACACCCCCCCCACCCCCCCCCCCCCCCCCCCCCCCCCCCCACCCCCCCCCCCCCCCACCCACCCCACACCCCCACCCACCCCACCCCCCCACCCCCCCACCCAACACCCCCCCCACCCCCTTCCCACAGTGGGGGTGGGGGTGTGTGGGGTGTGGGGTGTTTTTGTATAGTGATAGTTGTGTGTATTAAAAATGTTACAAAGATGGAGATTGTGTATAGTGAAGATGTAACCCACAAAATTTGGGCTCTGGAGAGGGACCTGGTAGCGTCTGCCCCATGTTCTTCACATGGGTAATGCTGGACTCCTCTGGTAGTATATATTAAGAGTAAAAAAAAATCATACAAATTAAGCATAATATGATATAATACTTTCTGAAGTATAGCAACATGACTAAATGTGCATCCTTTTTTGCAGGGTGGATTTCCTTATTTATCAAGAAATTGGACAAATGCCAGTCAAAGCCACTGAAAATAGCTACCCTAAGACCTTGATGCTAAGTTACACTCATGGAAATCATTATGATATCGTCTACCAAAAAGATGCTGCCACCACACGAGGATTTTGTCAATGTGAGTTCTTAAAAAACTAATCTTTAATATGTAACGTCATGTGAAGTCGCAAAACTTTTTATGATTACATCATTTACTTGTATAAGAATATTGTTTAATATGCAGTACAACCTCAGAATCCGCTGTGCCTTTCTAGACCTGTTTCAAATTTGGGAGAAATCTTGATTTGGGTATATTTTTGCTTTGAGCTGGCACCCCTTAATGACTTACTTAAATCCTGGAATGTGCACTTGATTTAAATGACAACCCCCAGTGGGCAAGAGAAAATTTGTTACAATTTCTGGGGGAGCCCTCCCGGTGGCTCTGTGAAGTTGTCTCACTGAGGTTTCTCCATGGAAATGGATCACATCAGATGCTGGCATTCTGTTTGACCTACAGAGGGCTAGAGCCGCTGACCCAAAGCGACACAGGCCCAACTAGGTCCAGGAATGTTCACGAGGTAGCGTGCAGCCAGGACCCTGTTCGACCGCAAAAAACCCCGTGCTCGAATGTCAGCCCAGGACATGTTCCCAAAAGCGGCACCAAGAGCAGTGAACCTACGAACGTTGTGGGCATGGGTATAGGCCGCATGCTACCTGGACCGAATAATCCCGTGGATGACCTGGGAGATCCACGCCCTGGAACAGGGAAGAAGGGGAACCGGGTTCACCTAAAGTACGTCCCCTGCCACAGAGGCCGTGGTGCGCAGATAACGGCAAAGAGCTGCAACCGGACACAAAACATGATGCACCCCAGGCTGAACCAATCAAGCATCAACAACCCAAGGACCCCTTCGGAAAGCAGCAGACGACTCCTTAGCCAGAAAAGGAGACAGCTGCAAATGAACGAAACGACCACCAGGACCGAAAGAGCAGAAACCCCTGCGCCGGAGGTAGCATGAAGCTTCCTGACCCGACCCCCCAGAGGCCAATGCCAACAAGAAAAGAGCCTTAGAAAAACAGTCCTGAGCAGAGAGGGCTAGACTTAACACTTTGAGGCGCTCGTGCACTTCACTACCCCGGGTGGGTTTGGGCATTCCGCGGGAGCGCGCGGTAATTATGAAAAGTGTGTACTCTTTTCAACTTTGTTACCTCAATTCTCGTCCTAGGTTTTTCAATTTGGTATCATTGTGTTCGCAATAGAATTCTCTATAGGACTAAGGCATATAAAGTCCAAAAGCCCAGCGTACCGTCCACAACAAACAGAGAAAGTGAGAGAAAGTTACCCGGGAGCCCGCAAGAGTGATAAAATGTTTACTTTTCAGTTTTGTCACCTCAATTCTCGTCCTAGGTCTTTTATTTTGGTATCAATTTGTTCGCAATAGAATTCCCAACAAGAGTATATGCATATAATGTCATAAACAGCAGCATGCTCCACTCGCTGACGTGATGAAAGCAGGCCGCAGTTACCAGAAAGTGAGAGCTGTGCCACCCCAAGGCGCCTCTCATTACATTAGAGAGAGCGGTAATTCTGAAGTGTATACTCTTTTAAATTCTGTCATCTCGATTCTTGTCCTAGGTTTTTCAATTTGGTATCAATATGTTCGCAATAGAATTCTCTACATGACTAAATGAATATAAAGCCCAAAAGCCCGGCGAGAAAGTGAGAGCGTCTTACCCGGGAGCGTGCAAGAGCTCTCTCTTCACTTCATTCGCTTCACTTTGGACATCGCAATTCCTGTCCTAGGTCTTTCATTTTGGTATCATTGTGTTTGCAATGGAATTCCCTACAGGAGTATATGCAAATATAAAGTCCAAAAGCCTGGCGTACCACCCACAGCAAACAGAAAAAGTGACAGAGCGTTACCCCCGTGAGCGCTAATTAGGAGCAATAAAATGGATATGCTCTTTTCAACTTTGTTACCTCAATTCTGGTCCTGGGGCTTTCATTTTGGTTTCAATGTATTCACAATGAAATTCCCTACAGGAGTATATGCATATAATGTCCAAAACCACGGCGCGACCCTCCCGAAGCTGCCGCCAATTTTCCCCCCGCCTATTACTGCCGAGGACTCAATGCCCTTACCCTTACCGGACCGGACTTCCAAGTCCAGTCAGGTCCGGTCCGGTCTGGTTCTCTGTTAAATAGAGGGAGGTCCTTACCGGACTTCCCTCTATTTAACGGAGGACCCGAGTTGTCGCCGAGCGAAAGTGATATCACTTTCACTTTCGCTTTTAATAACCCTGCAGCTGACCTGAGAGACCCGTACCTGCGAACAGGGAAGAAGGGAAACCGGATCAACCCAAAGCACATCCCCGAACACAGAAGCCGTGGCTCGCAAATAACGGCGGAGGGCTGCAACCAGACACAAAACATGATGCACCCCCGGCCAGACTAACCAAGCATCAACAACCCAAGGACCCCTCCAGAAAGCAGCAGTCTCGTTCTTTGCCAGAAAAAGAGGAGACGGCTGCAGACGAACAAGCCTATCTCCTCGACTTTTTCCCATCAGCCGAGGAACTGAAGTTGTGGATCGCTGTCGCAAGGGTCTGGGGCTCCCCCTTTCCCCTCACGGGGAGGGGGAAGCTGCGCAGACATGCAGTGTGGCTCATGTGACGTCAGGCTTGTTTGCTGGTTTTTCCTTTGGGGAGTTCTGTCCATTTGTTTCCATATTTTTGTTGGTTTTACCAGAATAGGGGTTTGCTTTGAGGCGCTCGCCTTTCTGGGTGTATGTCCTGGTTGATGGCAGATATAGAATGCTCCAAAATCACATGTGCATTTCTAAAGGCCATTGCTCCTTGTGACTTTTTGAGGAGGCCAGGTTCTGGCCGTGGTCCCCGGTAGGCCTGGAACTCCACCCACATCAACTGATGCCAAAAGTTAGGACTATCAGCCTGGATAACTCTGGGGAAGCCTCCAGGACTCACCCAGAAAATGGCATTTCATTACATTCAACGCTGGTTTTATGGACGTCTTTCTGACCCCAGGTGTTGGGTGAGGACTGTGACTCTTTTGCTTGTGTCAATAGCTGTTGACACAAGCAAAATAGTGCGATCTCATGTAATGTCCAACCATATTCCTTGATCTTCATAACAGGTTCTTGAAGTCTGTAAATACTACCATCAGTTAGTGGCAAAAGCAAATGCTAATCCATGTGATCATCATGGTTTCCAAAAATCATTAATGGAAATGATTCTTGGAAACCCTCATACTAAAACTTCTCACACATTTCAAATTTTTATTCATAACCATTTGGCAGCACATCCCAACAGATGACGGGGTGGCTAATTATGTCTAAACTGTGCATCCCATCAAGTGAAGTATTGGGGTACAGCGTAAAATTGAAATGTCCTGCATAGAAAATGACAACCATACGCTGCCTAGGGGCAATGGTAAACAACATAAACTGTTCTCAGCTGATGAAAGTATAATGGCTGATTCTAACTTGATGAGGGTTATGCTCAGGGCTCGTGTAAAAGTGATAGATAACAATATAGACGTATGGAGAAAATTACCCGAGGCCTGGGAAAAAGTGAGGAGAAATTTCACTGAAGGCCTACTCGAACACCGCTGCCACTGCGCCCTTACTCAACACCACCACTGTCACTGCCAGACTGGCCATGTGAGTCTATGTCAAATGATGTTCCTGAAGACTGTGAACATGTTGAAGATGACTCATTTTCAGAATTTAGTGACTTGAATTCTGAGAGTAGTTTTAGCATTCCTGTGGCATGTAGTAGTGGTATACATGCTGTTACCAAGCAGATTCTACTGTGTCAGCTGCTCACCCCACCAAATGCCAGAATCCATCTTGCATGGAGAAATTGAGGGAAACCTGCCCTCTGCTTCCAATGTTCGTGCTCGCACTCTGCATAGTTGGAGGTCTTCATCTCCTAACTAACGTAGTTTCGTTGGTACTAGGATACGTGGCGGTAGTGTTGGTGTGCCGCTACCAGAACAGTGTACTCATGTGTGGAGATGGTGAGGACTTTGTGGCACAAATTCCAACATACAGTACATTTAATGATATAAATGTTGGGCTTACTGACCTTTTCTCATATACTGGTGAGGACTTCAGTGAAATGGCATACTGTACTTTGACGAGCCACTCATGGAACATGTTGTTAAGGAAACAAACAGGTATGCTGCCAAGCTCATTAGAACAGAGGGCTTGTCATGATATTCATGATTACAGCATTTGGGAAAACACCACTGTACCAGGATTTTGTGTTTTTTGCTCTCTGTATGATGAAACATTGTGTAACATGTCATCCAGGACTATTGGAACAAAGACTGTTGTCCCAACACCTATTTTTGCAAAATATGTCTCATGGCAGGGATTTACTAATTCTCAGGTGTCTTCATTTTGAAAATACTAAAAATTGTGATCCAAGTGATAGACTATGGAGGGTGATTATTTCACAAATTGTTCACAACCTCTGTGAGACCAAAGCTGGAATATGCAATGGTGTATGGTGCCCATAACGTAAAATACACATCAACAAACTGGAAAAGGTGCAAAGACATGCCACTAAATGGCTCCCAGAACTGAAAGACAAGAGCTACGAGAAGTTAGAGGCATTAAATATGGAAAACTAGAAGAAAGAAGAAAAAGAGGGGATATGATCACTATGTACAAAGTAGTAACAGGAGTCAAGAAAATTAATAGGGAAGAATTCCTGAGACCTGGAACTTCAAGAATAAGAGGTCATAGATGTAAACTAACGAAATAAAGCTGCCGGAGAAATATAAGAAAAATCACTTTTGTAAACAGAGTGGTAGACGGTTGGAACAAGTTAGGTGGGAAGTTTGTGGAGGCCAAAACTGTCAGTAGTTTGAAAGCGTTATATGACAGTGCTGGAAAGACAGGACATCAAGAGCGTAGCTCTCATCCTGTAACTACACTTAGTTAATTACACATAGGTAATTACAAATACAAAAGATGTTACTGTATTTGTGGAAGTGCTCAGTATTTTGCATGATGTTAATATCTGTGGTTCTGGTAGGGGTGTCACTATGTTTGTGTTAGGTCTAATATTTGACCCACTGAAGAGAGGATGTACCATAAGCACAATCAAAGGACACTAAATATCTCTCAATACAGCATTCATAATTGAAAAGGCCATCCACATGTCAGCTTGCAAGTGGGTGGCACTTTTCTTAATACTTTGTGTTGTGTCAATTTCCTGCCCGAAACGCTTTGCGTAATAGTGGCTTTAGGCATTGTATGTACTAGCTCTATCTATTAATCCAACAAACGGTCTCCGTGGTGTAGTGGTAAGACACTCGCCTGGCGTTCCACGAGCGCTATGTCATGGGTTCGTATCCTGGCCGGGGAGGATTTACTGGGCGCAATTCCTTAACTGTAGCCTCTGTTTAACGCAACAGTAAAATGTGTACTTGGATGAAAAAACGATTCTTCGCAGCAGGGGATCGTATTCCAGGGACCTGCCCGAAACGCTACGCGTACTAGTGGCTGTACAAGAATGTAACAACTCTTGTATATATCTCAAAAAAACTTTGTAAAATCTCTTGTATGTATGTACCTTACCTAAATAAACATTTATTTATTTATATTTATTTATTTAACACATCGACACATTCATGACCATAAATGTTCCAGGCATTTCTGGGTTGTAGTCATCTACATCTAAAATGCTTATACACTCAATGTTTTCTCAGTTAGTTTTGGGGATATTATTGTAAATTTGGTGTTCAGATGTTTGCAAGTAAATTTGCTAGACTAGATGCATAATAAAATATGATAATAGAAGTTGCACGAGTACTGAATATTCACATTTTTATGAACATTTCAATATATATCATTTATTTTTAAACATTCCTCATTTATTTTTTAGCAAAAATAAATTATATTGAAATGTGGACACATCATCTGTTTTTTACTGTAAAAATAAAACAACATAACTTTCATACTTTTTCTACACGTAATTTGCAAAACATTATGAAAATTCTCATAAGCAGAGCAATTATTATCTCAAGTGATACACAGTTGGCCGAGGTGACCTCTGGCTGGTCTCCTGATACTATACTTTGGTTGGTCTCCTAATTAATTATGCTCACACTGTGCTTCAAAAAAAGAATAAAGAAAAAGAAAAAATGATGAAAGTTATTTTGGGGGAATTTGAGATGGATGATGCATTTTAGCATTATCAAGATGTTTACTGTTGGAATATAGATGATGCGGTTTAGCATTGTCGGAATGCTAAAATGTTAAGAGTATTCATATATGATGTTTTGTGAGATATGGCTGGCGTATGGACCTGGGATTTCTTTCTTTATTGAGTGCAATTTGAACTAACTAGCTTCAGTATTTATTGTTTCATCTAAATTTATATTATGATGATTCATTTAAATGTGTTTGTTTTTTCAGCTGTGGTGTATGACATTCTTTATTCACATGTGTTTCAATTGAAGGATGTTTTAGTTGCTGTTGACACAATGCTCCATGATAAGGAATATGCATCATTGAGAAGAGATTCTGCTAATTCAGCTGAACTTAAAGAGATTGGAGCATTAGTTGAAAAAATTATGGGGACCAGTATCTCCCGAGATAATAGTCAAGATGAAGCAGATAAAAAGTGAGTGTTTTTTCTTCTTTCATCATCCCAGTTTTCTCTTTAATTGTAACTATCGTCAACTGGGCCACCTCACCTGTAACTGGATGGAGGGATCAGTAACTGCATCCGCATTAAATATACAGCTTGTTGATTCGTGGTTTAGGGTTGAGAGGACTTGAATGATCAATGCATCACTTACTAGTTTGTTATGTTTTTCTGGAAGAGCTCTTGGTGGCTCCCTGGGGTTATCTCATTGAGATTGCTCCTTATGACTAGATCACATCAGTTGCGGGAGATTTGTTTGGCCTTGGTGGACCAGAGCCAGAAACTGGCCCTCCCCTCAGAGGCACAGAGAGTGAATGACACTCGACTGCTCCACTGAGAAAGCACCCAGAAGGTCAGCAAAGCTTTACAGACAACTGCAGCAAGGTTCACAGGAACCGAAGCCTCGAAACCGCCAAACAAATCCCCAAACAATTGATTGACTGAAAACTAGTTTGAACCTTTTAGCATTAACATTCTCTACCAGGTGACCTAGCCCCCATCGGCCCTTTAAGTCAATTCTGTCACTGATGTGGTACTATCGACATCACTCTAGTGCTCCTGGGCCACCTCCTGTGCAGCAAGTCCCTAGATGCTTTGCAGCTAAGTGCCAGCCAACCTTTGGACTTCATCCCATGGGGCCATTTGCTTGTGTATTGTTCCAGTTTGGTATTTGCTTCATGTGTGTTTGTTTTCCCAGGTGGTTGTGTGAACTTGGCTTGTTGTGTGCTTAATTCTTCAACAGCGCAATACATACATATATGATTTGACGTAAAATAATTTTACATAAGTTTTTAAAACTTGCACAAATACTTTCCAATTTTTTCTGAGGGGAGCCCCATCGGCTCCCCGGAAGCTATCCAGGTTGAATGGATATGTATATTTTTTCTGGCATCATTCAATGCATAGAGTTCTTGCCTACCAGGGACCATGAGCCAGAACCTGGCCCCCTCTAGAGAGGCACGAGAAGCAATGGCCTATAGAGATCCCCCCCTTGTGATTGGGAGCATTATATGTCTGCCATGGACCAGGACAGGCACCCAGAGAGGTAGGCGCCCCAAAACAAACCCCTATTCTGGTAAAAGTATTGCAACCAAAAGCCGAACAAGTGGATAGAACTCCCCAAATGAAAATTAGCAAACTAGCATGACATTCATCATGTTGCTGCGCTCCCATCACCCTCCCCAGGAGGGGGAAGGGGAAGCCCCAGACCCATCCGCTGGCGGCCCATCCAACAGTTCTTAGGCTGATGGGATCTGGTGCGGTCGTGCCTCTGGCTCCAGTTTTCTATTACAGTTCTGTGACTTGTGGTGTGGGCTGTCCCTTCAGGTGGTGTGAGAGCTGGGAGTGAGATACCACGGTACTCGACCTTCATGCGCCTAGGGTCACCTTCCCTAGGTGCCCTGTAAGTACTGCCCTTGGGGCTTGGGGCCTCCTTCCACAAGTCGTCTCGGGATCTACCTCCGCTGTGTTGTTAATGCTTGGTATTTGGCTGCCCTTGGAGTCAGCTGGGTTTTTTTCTTGCCCTTGTTTGTCTTTGGATATGGGGTAGTTTTAGTCACTGTCAGGGGGCACGGGGTACTGCACAGCTAGTTTTCACCTATCACAGTGGCCGACTCTGTTCCGCCTGGGTACGTTGTCCTCTTGCAGGGTTTTCCTTTTGTTTTTGTTTTTCTGCCTGGTGGGGGGGGGGAAGGGGGTCTGCCATTGTAATTACCTAAGTGTAGTTATAGGATGAAGGATGAGAGCTACGCTCATGGTGTCCCGTCTCCCCAGCACTCTGTCATATAACGCTTTGAAACTACTGATGGTCTTGGCCTCCACCACCTTCTCACCTAACTTGTTCCAACTGTCTACCACTGTTTGTGAACCATTCCACCACCCATCACTGCACTGCAATTCATTCAATTATTTCCGACTCGAACGCTTATTGAATATTTCACCTATGAAACTAATCTGTATGCCACACAAATAATGCAGCATGCTACCGAGGGCGTAAGAAGGATGTGGGTGCCAGTCACCGTCAAGGAAATGGCCAGATATATAGGTCTGTGAATGTTGATGGGGGTTTCCAGGCTACCAACCATGAGAATGCACTGGCAGACAAGCAGGCTTTGGCACGCCCGTTTCTTCAATACTTTCATGTCATCGAAACGGTTTCAGCATATTGCAAAGTTTTTTCACTCATATAATAACAATTCCATTCCCATAAACAATAAAGACTAAAAATTCGAGCAGTGATGGAATATCTGAAAACGAAATTTGCTACAATCTACGTTCCACAGAAACAATTGAGTCTGGATGAAAGCACGCTGGCATGGCATGGCTGGTTATCTATCAAGGTATTTAACCCCAACAAGCCTGAAAAATATGGAGTCAAACTGTACATGCTTGTGGAATCAATATCTGGCTACATATGACTTTGAAGTCTATTGTGGAATAGGGAAAACAGTAATGGAGACAGTCACGGGCTTGATTGAGCCCCTAATGGACAAAGGCTATCATCTCTACATGGATAACTATTATAACTCAGTCAACCTCACAGAAAAGTTACGCGAATGTCAGGTTTACACATGTGGCACCATTAGATTGCCATGTGGAACACCCAAGGAACTGCCATTGAAGGCAAAGGGAAAAATGGCATTGGATACCACGATATTCCGCCGCAAAGATGAGACATTTATAATACTGTGGAAAGACAAACGAGTGGTATCCCTCATTACAAACTTGCACAATGCAGACCCCAAGCAAGTTCAACGAAGGAAAAGAATTCGCAAATGTAAATAAATAAATAAATAAATGTTTATTTAGATAAGGTACATACAAGAAATTTTTACAAAGATTGGTTGACTTATAGGTAGAGCTAGTACTGTACATACAATGCCTAAAGCCACTATTACGCAAAGCGTTTCGGGCATATATGTGATGGGCATATAATGTGACGGATCATCTTCAGCAGAACAGGTAACAGTCAACAAACCAACTGCCATTTGTGACTATAATCGTTACATGAAAGGTGTTGATCACTTTGATCAAATGGTAAAATATTACCAGTTTACCTGAAAATGTCACAAGTGGACAAAGAAGATGATGATCTATTTTCTTCAAATGGCTCTACACAATTCCTTTGGTTTGTATAAGAACTATACCAGTGACCGTAAGAAACTTACGTTGCTGCAGTTTCAAGAGGTGTGAATGTAGTCACTATTGAGGTGGGACACTGAGGAGTGGCCTCTCACAACAGACACCATTCCACATGCTCCAGACATAAATGATGACGCCAGTACTTCTGATGCTGCCAATCTGTCAACCCCGGGACCATCTGGTGTGAGGCTGCCTTTATTTCCTTCAACACCACACGAAGGGAGTCTCTGAACTCGAGACTGGTGTTACAGGCAACTTAGACACAACCGGTGTTACAGAAAACTTAGCCGCAAGTCATACTTCGCCCAACAAACACCCAAGAATTGTGGATTCACTGGAGCGTCTCAAGCCTCACACATGCAATACTTACCCTGCAAAATGTCTAAAGTGTCGTGTGTGTTACAAGTCCGGAATCAGAAAAGACACCAAGCACAAGTGCAAAACGTGTGGAGTTGCACTGTGTGCTTCACCCTGCTACACAAAATACCATCGGAAGAGGGGTATTTTGGGTGCAGAAGAAGTAACCATTTGCAACGCATTCACTCCACCTTAGAAACATCTCTTGAGCAACTTCAGGCACCTTTTCCTGAAGCAGGTGGAGTGAATCACAGAATGCTCAAGTTGTTGTTCTACTGTAATCAAGATATTGGTAAGTACAGAAACATTTTTTTGAGTTTGTATAAATAAGATATTACAGTGTATTTTTTCATGGTGTTTGTATTCACATACGTATTCTTAAATAGGGGCTAATATTCTGATTTCCATGTAGAACATTTTATTGAAATTTTTTTTATACCAAAATGAATGATCAATACATGTACGATCAATAACAAAAAATAGCGTTATAAAACGATAATCTCCTTTGTTTTTATCGGGTGTACCGGGTGTAAAGAGTGTGGGAATGGGTGGACTCTAGCGGGTAACGCACTGGCGACTTTCGACGTGGTTGCGGGTGGGGCGAGCACATGTTTTGAACTTGATATGCATATGTCCGTGTAAAGAATTTTATTGCGAGCACAGTGATACCAAAATGAACATGGTAGATCATGTTTTGACTTGACAATCATGAAAAGAGCAGCACCATATCCGCACTGTTTGGCGCGCACGGCTAACGAGCGACTTCGTTTTTTTATTTGGTACTGGTCTCACGCATGCTTTAGTGACATTTTATACATATGTTTCTCTAAAACATTCTATTGCCACACATTGATACCAAAATGAAACACGTACATCAAAAAATAAGGTCATAACACTGAAAAGAGTATACACTTTTCAGTAGTGGTGTAGCCGTTGGTCATGCGGTAACGGGTAACACTTCCTTGACTTCCCACGTTACAGCGGGTAGGGCGCGGGACCACGATTTGGACTTGATATTCATATGTCTGTGTAGGGAATTTTATTGCAATCACAGTGATACCAAAATGGACGATGTAGGACAAATCTGGAGGTGACAAACCTGAAAAAAGTCAAATATTTCATCGCTGTTTGGCGCGCACGACTAACGAGTGACCTAGTTTTTTATTTGGTGCCGGTTTCACTTATGCTTTAGTGACATTTTATACATATATTCCTCTAGAACATTCTATTGCGAACATATTGCTACCAAAATGAAACACGTACATCAATAACTAAGGTCACAACACTGAAAAGAGTATCCACTTTTCAGTGTTGGTGCTCGATTGCCCGACACGCCAGGCACACAAGGGGAAAGTTACACGGCCGCCCGCCAGAAGCGCGATTGTGTTACGGATATATTTTTGTTGCTTTTATAAATGTTCAGGTAAAGTTAATGTCAAAATGTTTCCAGACTCAACCATTTTCATTTCAAAACACAA